TGCAGTGCATATATTGTATATTTTCAGCAGAGCGTCCCGTTGCGCAATCATGCGTGTACGCGTGTCACGCGATCACTGTGTGAGTGGATGTCCGGATGCGTAGCCTGGAGGCTAGGCGACCGGTTCCGGACGCGTAGCCACTACGAACAGGTTAACACTATAACAGTGTAAAGTGTCCGTTACACAGGCACTTGGAGCGTTTCAATAAAATACAATGCTAAATAAATACGAAATATATTTACTACCAAAGTCTTAATGTTTCTATAGGCCTACTCTCTTTCACCTATTATTGCCGACAATTTCCTGTAAATGCCGTCCAAATGCTCATCTGCAACAAACACTGGCTGCCGCCATTGCTGCCGCTGCACACTGACACATAAATATATAAACACATAACTATAATCATCTGATCAGCACTTTACTAATTATAGTACGTAACTGGACGTCATAACTGGTACGTAATACTGGACGTCATAAACTGTATTTGCACCCGTAATTATATCACATTGATTAACCAGTTCTATACTACACGAATATTTACATGAACGACTTCAATGACTTACCGGTCAGTACCAGTTCAGTTTTACTTTTAGTTTACAAGGTGTAAATTAATCGCTTGTCGTCTGTCGGCTTGACACTTGAAACAAGTACGAACTCGACGGAAGTCACGGAATGGTAGGCCTAGTACGTTGTCGTTGCGGATCACAACCATACAAACCAGTCATTAAGAGCTAGGGGAATCACCGTGCAGAAATGGGGAATCACCATGCTGCAGAAGATAAACCTTAAAAAAAGAAATAACCGTACTATAGCGGCGTTCAGCGTGACGTCACGTCCCGGTGACGTGTGTAAACATAAAGCCCGCCGCACACGGTGAACTATCTGCTGAGCCAACGGCCTAAGCAGAGCAGGCTCGCCAGGCAGTCACTGCGGCAGCCACTGTACGCGGGCTAAAGTACTAGATTGTGTTTCACTAAATATTTTGATTTACTAGGTATTCTATGATTCCCCGTTCGATGTCGATCACTACATCTTATTATAACGCAGTAACTGACAATTTGTTACCAATACAACATGCATGACAAACAATATAAAATAGCCACCGGCGAACGCTTTTGCCAACCAGCAGAGTTAAGCCCGCCGCACACGGTGAACTATCTGCTGAGCCAACGGCCTCAGATTCTGCACGATTTTTGGCCTCGCGTGGCTGTGAGACCGATATCTATCATGTTTTATATTTGTACAAGGCAGGAAAACCCCGCAAAAAGCCCGCGAATGGGGGGGTTCAGAAATTTTAGCAGTCCTGAGATAGGGGGGTGCTTTCAAAGGGAGGGAACGAGCATATGCGTACCCTAAATAACACTGAGTGGGGGGCCGGGTAGAAATGTGACAACATTTCCACAACCTTCCAGGACTAATCATAATAATAGAACTTTACCCCGGACATTTTAGGCATGCAAAATGTCATTTTAAAATTCCAGAACTCCCCGTGGGTTTTCAGGATGGATACCAACCCTGTATATCATGTTAGCCTGTTGCGACCCCAAACGTCATAGAAAATTCACCAAGAATGCAAAACTTTGTTTGACCCTTTTTATAGCCTATAGTATTTCACGATAGATGGTCACATGATCATGAGCACTGTGCACATACGTACGGTTTATAGAAACACTGCGGCTTTTTCTTTTTTCTGCACATATATGCTCTTTGATGTGCATATCCGTCAGCATCTTCTGTGGAAATACCGCAACTGCTATGTCATTGAACCTAAAAAGACAACAAATGATTCTCTGTTTAAAATTAGGACTCTGTTATGCAGTAAGCTAAGTTACGGCAACGCTATGCTGATTGTTTACACCTTTCATTAAACTCATGCAACTCACGTACGTGGCAGTCATATCACACGCCATGTTCACTTGTATTTCTGGGTGGCTCCATTCGTTAGCAGAGAGATCGAACTTTTTGGGTACCAATCGGTGAATGTGCGACTCACGTTGACTGTCGTTGGTGACCAAACTTGCTACTATCTTAGCTCGTGGTCTATAACCTACCAACTGACAAGAGAGAATATGTTTAGTGTAGGTACACAAGCTTTCCGACTCACCGGGTCACAAATATTTTATGAGACTAATGCAGTCAACCTCGCTTAATTCGTCATCACTTTATTCGTAGAATTACCTAATTCGTACAAAAACATGTGGTCCCAATATTTCTCTTCTTTATTCCCTATAATTTCCGTTGTATAATTCAGATTCTGTAATTCGTAATTCGAACAAAATTCTCTGGTCCAATTAACATTCAATTCAAAATAACACGTGTAATTTGTAGGGAATGTTTGTTTATGCAAGCAACATTTTATCTGAACCGACGATCGCCTGGAGATCGCGCAACTGAGTTTACACGAGTTGTTGCTGTGTGCACTGATTGTTTCATTCGCATTGTTCGCTTGGACACATTGTTTTTTTTCAGCTCGCGTAGAAACAGTCGCGTCTGTTTAACTAGGTACATCTGATGTTACGCACCTTGACACTAACATACTCCTTTTTCTTCTGGTCCCCACTCATTCTGTCAGCCTCTAGGGTTCCATGACTGCCACGCTCCGACGTATATCGAAACCTATGCCCGTTTCTCTGCGGTTGTCTTAATATTTTCAAGTCTGGAATGTAACACAATTGAGGATTTGTTGCATGTCAAGTCAAATGTGCAATGAATGCAGAGTAAATTCTGCACGTAAGAACACCCATCAGTTTTTGTCTACCTATAAAATATTTGCCCATAATTCTAAACTCGGTCTAGTTCTAAATATAGCTCTGATCATCTGATGTGACATATTTGCCATGAAAACCAGCATGCTGACATCTCCTTTATGATCAGTACTTACATGGCTGCATCGGAGATGCACTCTGCATCTTAAAAAAACACAGAATGCATTAGAATACATGGTCTGGAAACATGCTTTAGAACTAACATTCAACGTGCTAGGGCATTAAGCAAGTACTTGATGAGATAACATTAGTTTATATATTAAAAAATAACAATGTTAATCCATTCAATTACGTTTACACAATCAGTGTCTCTATGAATCTAGTTCAGCATTACATATTTCGATAAGGGTAAAACGAAAGTTACCACAACTGTCATCTGCGAGTTACTTCCAACCTGCGATCCAAGAAAGTTCGGCGTGACATTTATCGGCATCTCCAGATGCATCAGGGTGTCCGTCCCCTCAGGTGCACTGGCAAATTCTTCATCGCGAATGGTGGCCATTAAATCGTTCAACGTCTCCAGATTGAAATTGCCATAGCTTGCTGGGTTGCTTGTTTCGGTGTTGGTGGTGTAAGACACTGCAGTGTCCGGTGACCAGCTCATGCTTGCTGGGTTGCTTTGTCCCGTGACTGCATGAGCTACTGGAATGTTTGCTCCAAAGTTTTCATAGCTTGCTGGATCGCTATGTCCAGTGCTTATGTATGCTACAGCGCTGCTTACTGCAGGAAAGCTGTTTGAAACGGCATTTCCCGGGACTGTCACCTGATTCCACATAGCGTAGTCACCAACACTTGATGAGTCTCCAGATGTGTTTGACATGGGGCTGAAGCGGTCCTGGGTAGGATTATTTGACCCAGGGTTGCTACCGAATCCAGTGTCTCCAGATTCATTCGACCGAGGATTTGCGTAAGCTTGGGCATGGGAGCCAGGGCTGGGCCACTGAGACATTGTATGAAATAGGCAGCTGGTGGACAATCTTCGGCTATCTGTGAATATATAAATGTTGATCATCTCAATTGCCAGAAATAGCACTAATCATATGCTGGTATTTAGCCATTTTCCTTAATAGCAATTTATGAACAATTTATTGCTTGTTTATCAACAGTACACAAATCAGAATACAGCATTCAACACTAACAGTTGTCCGATTGCCCGGGGCAAGTAAAAGTCTATGTCGGACAAGTCATTCTCTTGGCTAGTTGCCTGCTCAGACAACTGAAAAATTCTAGTTGTTTAATATTGCTAACATAATTTGAGTCAGGCGCGATCGCACGACATTCTCACGTTGTATTTTCAATGGTCGCTGAAAAAAGCAGCCCGCGACACCCGTGTCGTCAGGAAAAATCTAAATTGGACAAGTAAAAATTGCTTCTTGTTGCCCGACAGGACAACCAGATCTGAAAATAAGCGGAAAGGGCCCTAGTGCTTGCGGACCAATCACGTTTGGCTACGGCCTGGGTATGGGCCTGTACTAGTATAAGATATCTTTGGAGTGTGCAAAGAACCTCGCCTACTCCACTAAAAAGTCTAGGAAGTCGCTTACAGCCTATCCCAACCCTAAACCCTAACCCATAACCGTGCAATATTATAATAGTGACGCAGTACGTTCCGGTATTACCAGACCGTCACCCAATGGTACTTCCGGCAGTACTCCCCCTGGGGGTACAATAGCCCTATGACGAGTTGACTGATACAGTGCTAGCTAGGACTTATCGTATCGTATCTTTATGTCACTTATGAAACTTCGGTCTTAATCAACCCACATCGTCCCACCACGACTGTAATTGATCATACTTTTGTGGGCTTAACTCTTTTGGCTTGGCTACAAATGTGTTAGTTTAGTGTAATTGAATGTTGTTCCCGAGATAAAATATAAGCAGTAAAACTCCGCATAGGACGCATCGTCTAATTTCGCATGTGAAGTACAGTCCCAATTTCTCTAACGATATAATCCATTGAATAGCCCCGCGCACAAGTCATCATTTACCAACTGTCAATTATGTACAAGTCGTCACCCTCAGACGGTCCATGTAATTCAACAACAGTAAAATCTATCTGTATGTCGTTTATCGATAAAAGGCCGATAGCGCAGTGTATGCAGCCCAATGTACTGAGCGAATTCCTGGTAAAATGGTGACTCTATTGTTTGGCAGAAACACATATATTGCTCAATTACAGTTCAAATTGTAAGTTAGGTGACGTGTACATGCATAGGCGTGCTATTTGGGGTTTGCATGGCTTTTTCTATACATGTATTAAAGTTACAGTTCATTAAATGTTTATTACAAGATTAAAATGATTTTACTTTATTGTGTCTGCCTAGGGAATCATCTCAAAATGGTTTTGATACATTTGTAACTTTGTACCACGAAAGACTAAAACCTGTTTAAATATCAGCTTGTCACTCCCAAGTAACGTCGCGAAATGCCGGCTTTGTAATGTTATCAAAATGACGATATATACCCATGCATAAATCATCATTTTTGGCTGATCTGACAACATAAGTCGACAAAAATGACGACTTATCCCGTATATACGTCAGTTTTTTGTAAATCAAGCGCAAAAAATGCTGGTCGCTAAAAGGCCGACTTATGCGAGTTTTAGCTAATAGTTCGCGTTAATAATACGTTTGTATGTTATGTCTCGTACTGTGTGGCGTGTTCCAAATAACTGGATTATAGTCACAAGGTAGTAAGTGCATTCTAGGAATAAACGCCATAAACAACAGGTGCATAATAATAATGAGTGGGCAATGCTACTAGGTGTCCTTCTTAAAAGTGGGTTCGCGTGCATGTGGAAGTGAAAGCCTCGACTTGAAAGGCAGCTTGAACTTTTGCCAGTTTGTACTTGGCCATTCGTCAAGATACATGTGGCGTGATCGCACAAGGAAATTGATCGTTTAGTGTAGACGATATGCTGTATTACAGAATACAGATTAGGCCGTGGCTACGCGATCCGGTTCGCGGACTGAGGAGGCCGCTGGTTACGCCACAGCTACGGGCGTCCGGACATCCATCTCACACGTATCTGCACACGCACACGCAATGAATCTGCACAACGGGACCTCTGCTTGATTGGCCGAGTGTCACTGTGTGGTGTGTGGGTGCATGTATGCGTGAGAGACGAGAGAGAGAGAGGGAATGTGTATGCTGTGGTGTGTAGCGTAAAGAGAGAGAGAGAAAGAGAGAGAGAGGAGAGAGAGAAGCATAGAAGGTGTGTGTTGAGAGAGAGATAAATAGAAGAGAGCTGTGGCGTGTGTGTGTGAGAGAGAGAGGCTGTGGGCGTGGTGTTGTGTGAGAGAGAGAGCCGTGCGTAGTGTGTGAGAGACTTGAGAGCCGAGAGGAGCGAGAGAGGGCGATGAAAGGATAGGACGGCATCAGTGCATATTATTGTATATTTTAGCAGAGCGTCCCGTTGCACATCATGCGTGGTTAACGGCGGAAGTCCAGCGTCCGATTACTTGTGTGAGTGGATGTCGTATGCGTAGTCTGAGAGCTAGCGACCGGTTCCGGACGCGTTAGCCACGTACGAACAGGTTAACACTATAAACAGTGTAGAGTGTCCGGGTTACACAGGCACTTGGGAGCGTTTCAATATAAATAAATGCTAAATAAATACGAATCTAATTTACTACCAAAGTCTTAATGTTGTTCTATAGGCCTACTCTGTTTTACCTATCATTGCTGACAATTTCCTGTAAATGGGCCGTCCAATATGCTCAATCTGCAACAAACAGTGGCTGGCCGCGCATTGCTGCCGCTGGCACACTGACACATTAAATATATAAACACATAACTATAAATCATCTGATCAGCACTTCACTAATTCATAGTACGTAACTGGGACGTTCATAAAACTGGTACGTAATACTGAACGTCATACACTGGTAATTGCACGCCGTTAATTAGATGCACTTGATTAAGCAGTTCTATACTAACACGAAATATTTATCATGAACGCCATCAATGACTTACCGGCAGTACCCAGTTTCAGTTTTACTTTTAGTTAGCAAGGTGTAAATTATCGCTTGTCGTCTGTCTGGCTTGATCACTTGAAGACAAGTGCGAACATCGACGGGGAATGGTAGGCCTAGCATGTTTGTCGTTCGCGAGATCACAACCATACAGACCAGTCATTGAGAGGGGAATCAGCACGTGCAGAAATGGGGGAATTCACTATGCTGCAGAAGATAAACCTTACAAAAAGAAATAACTGTAGTCTATAGCAGAGTTCAGGTGTGACTCCGTCCCGGTGACGTTGTGTAAACATAAAGTCCGCCGCACACGGTAAACTATTTGCTGAGCCAACGGCCCTCAGAGAGCAGGCTCGCCAGGCCGTCCACTCGCGGCAGCCAGCTGACGCGGCTATAGTAACTCAGAGCTATCATCTACTATTACTAGATTGTGTTCAACCTGATATTCTTGATTTACATAGGTATTCTACATATATTTCTATGATAAACACTTTCCCCGTTTGATGTCGATGCAACTACATGCCTATTATATACGCAGTAACTGACAATTTGTTACGCAATAAACATCACAAAAAAACATATAAAATAGCCACGCGGCGAAACGCTTTTGCCAACCAGCAGAGTTAAGCCCGCCGCACACGGTGATATCGCTGAGCCACGGCTCAAGAGGTCCGTTTGGCTCAGCAGATTAGCCTCAGCGTGTCGCCGCTGCAGATTCTGCCGTATTTTTTGGCCTCGCGTGGCTGTGAGACCAATATCTATCAATGTTTGAGTATTTGGTGGCCAACGCGAGCCAGAACTTCAGCGTGTGCGGGCTGACTTGAAGCTATCAGCTCAGCACAAATATTTACGGCGACGCAATTTAAAGCGCAGGAATAGGACATGGGATTTTTAAAATGTCGGAGCCCAATGAACGGCAGAAATACTCTATCATCCGCAGTCAACACCACAATGATTGGTTGTTTATCTGCTTTTTTTGTGTTTTCTTGATTTTATGACTGCATGTGGACACCCTTTTCGTATCTTATCAGCAAACCAAATCAATGTGTGTGTGTGTGTGAATGTGTGTGTGTGTGAGGGAGTGTGTCGTGTGTGGGCAGGGGCGTGTTACAGGGGGGGGCTCCAGGGGGTCCGACCCCTCCTGCTCCGCACAGAAAACGGCATCCTGAGGGTCTAATATCGAAATGATTGCGCGTTTTCGCGTGCTCGCGGTACTGGTGTATCCAGCCCCACAGTTTCAAATGGATTTGCGGCCTCTGCCGGCCGCTAGCCACGATTTATTTCTAAGTGATAGGGTTGGTGCAGGGTTGCAACGCGAGTTGCAAACCTCCCTAGCGGCTGCGCACGAAAAATGGCGTTTAAATCCGCTGGCGACTGCCCACCCCTCCACTTGAAAATACATTGTGCCCCTCACATAGCCGCGGAACCGGCGCTAATAGCGCCGCGCACAAAAATCGGCAACAACAATAAGAAATATTTGTTAAAACGAGCGCCGCAGACACTACAGCGAGCACTAGAGTTAGCCGACAGAGAAGCTGTAGTAGAACAAAGGATCGCAATACGTTTGCGAAACAGGGAAGCTCAGCGTCACAGAGACGATAGCGATGTGGAGCCGACGGAAGTAGATCTCGTTAGGAATAATCAAACGGCTATAGACATGCATCAGAGTGTAGGCGAGATGAGGCACTTGGTAGCGAGCATGCAAAATTTATGCACAACACAAGAGCAGAAACAACGCAACATGCCGACAAACACAGAAACGAAGCTACGCCACAAAATTCTAACACACCACGTAGACCGCCTAATGAATCGGACTATAACAGGCGTCCACCGCTGTTTCGGCAGCAGACTCGTTTCGACGGACGACCGCAAAATCAAGTACGATTATGTTTCCGTTGTGGCAAAGAGGGTAATTTCGCACGTGACTGTCGGGTAGTTTTGCCGTCGAGAAACGCGCCGCGCCCGCTAGGCTGCAACATGAGGTAATGGGGGTCAGCCGCAGTCGCACACGCGCCGTGTGGCCGTGTTGCGATATTCGAGTAGGTGGGCAAAAACTGGTTGCATTAATCGATACAGGTGCTGAATGTTCGTTAGTCGATAAGTCAGTATGGAGGGGGTCACCTAATCACACAAGGGAAGCCGTGTGGCTATCAGCGTTTCACAGGTTTACAGATTCTGACGAAAACATGC